TTGATCCTGACTTTTTTCCTGTGGTTTTTTACTTTGATCCCGACTTTTTTCCTGTGGTTTTTTACTTTGATCCCACTCTTGAATCGACTTTTCTTGACTGCTCTTTAATTTTTCCTCATTTTCGTCCACAAACCATCTCACAAAAGTTCTCAGCAATTTTCTCACTTCCGCTGGTCCATCAGGTCCACGATCCAAAAACAACGCACCAATATACGCTTCCATACATTCACCTTGTACATCAATCGGATCACTAGCAGGACTACTTTTCACCATTTTCGATAATCCACATTTTTCTGAAAATCTCGCCAATTGTTCTCTAGTTGCTAATCTTGCACGAAGTATCGCTATATGTCTTAATTGTATATGCGGGAATATTTCTTGCAGAATCAGAACGAATTCCGAGTAAATTAGACTGTCACCGAGGAACGCCAATTGTCGAAATGAATTCTGCACGTCTTCGACGTTCATTTCTTTCCTTTTGAAGGTTAACGCTCTTTCTAGTAGTTCTTTGTTGTGAATTACGGGTAATTTGAAGAGACCTGGGTTTCGCATCCATGCATCGGGTGTCGAGGGAATCGGCGTTGGATGAGATTTCGTTTCTGACGTGGATGTTGATGTTTCTTTTCGAGTAGATTTAGCAGCCGAACCATTATTATTAGTAGGTGATGAAGCGATAGTATTTGTAAAAGATGATGTCGATAGATTCGTATTGGCATAAGGTGTAGCTGTACTACTATTCGTAACAATGTTTGAAAAAGAAGGCGATGATGTATCGTTTTTTGCAGCCCTTAAGATCTTTTGTAATTTTAGCAGAGATCTCTCGCTGTCTTTTGCCGGCATTCGAAGAGAATAATAAACACGAAACAGCGGAAGATATTGCACTGGCTCAACGATATGTCGGCTCAAGCGTCGAAAACGTAAATGCATATATAGAATATGCAATGGTCGGAGTAATTCTCGCTTGATAATGTCCCTTAATCGTGGTGTTTGTGGTTGTATGAAATTTGGATAAGCCATTTGGTTAATTGATCGTTTTGTTTGGTCTTGTTATTGTTTGATCCCTTTTTCATTTACGCGAGTAAAGATGGAAAAATTCGAGCGGATTATTTTTATTTTGGTTACTGTATTATTTTTATTGTAATATCGATATTATTATTTATAAATAATTGATAGCGCAAATTTTTTTTGATTGGCAAACATGATGTGCGGTAATACAATTATTATGGGTTTAACAGATAAGTGCAGATAAGATAAATAAGGACAGTGGCAAATCCAACTCCGATAGAAGTAAAAATCATTGGAATAAAAAAAATTTGTCCTATATATATATATAAAAATTAATTTGAAATTCAAACAAAGTAAAGATCAAAGAATCAAGAAAATTTTACCCAAGAAAAAACTAATTCCAAGCCCAATACCAATTAAAAGAACAGCACACAAAGAAGCAACAGTCAGAATTATCAAAACGACCGAAAGTGGCATGCCAATGAACAAAAAACCACATCCATTCAGAAACCAAAGCCACATTGACAGACAGCAAGAGGTTGCTAATGCAAAGATTTCGGTACACCTGTTTTTGAGATAATTCATTTTTATTTCGTATGTTACTGATGCGGCATTGGTTGTGGTTAGCTGTTGCTGTTGTGGAAATGAATTACGTGTCGTGTGAATTGGATAGGTGTGGTGGTGGTTGTTGTTACTGAGGAAACTCATTTTTATTTGATCTGTTAATTGAGGAATTCTATTTCTTTCCTTTTATAGATTTTATATTTAATGCACTTGGAATTTTAACTGATGCAATGCAATTTAGCATTTTGCTATCAGTGTGATTTACTGATAGTCAAAGCCCGTTACAACAGCCACATTGACTTTGGTTCAGTGTAATCCGATAATGATGACATCACATATACGAAATATATTGACAATAATGATAACAGGTCGGACCAACAAGTTACCTAACCCTTTAAATTTATTATCATGCGAAGCATACCTTATTATCATTATTCGACTTAGAGTGATATTAATTCTAATCACAACCGATCTAGATGACTTCATTATATAAGATACCTGGTTTTGCTGTGTTAATAACGATAATATATAGCCGAGATTTACACTGGGTACAATACAGGGGCATTTGAAGTAGGAAAATTTTCATTCGCCGGAACCGGTATCAGTGGTAATGATGATCATCACTTAATCAAATATTGTCACGTCACTCAAATGATTGGAGAGACAATGGATGAACTATTCTCTCTAAAAAATCTGTTCTATACAGGCAAGTTTTTTTTTACCATTTCGTGTTTCTTATTTTCTCACGTATTAATCTTAATACTAATTATTTAAACAACAAAAAAAAAATAGGCTCTTATCAACAAGTAATAAACGAAGCCAACTCGAGAACACAAGTCTCCGAGGCGGCAAAATTAGAACGGAAAACGTACTTGTATCGTGCCTACATAGCTCAGGGAAAATACAATATTGTCATTTCCGAGGTTAAAGATTCTGACGCTGTCGAATTACGAACGGTGAAACTGCTAGCTGTGTATTTACAAGCAAAAGCGGCGGGACAACTAGACTCCAAACGCGAGGAAACTTTAAACGAACTTTCCGAGTTGTTAAAAGAGCCGGCAAACAGCTTGAACTCGACCATACAAATCATTTCCGGTACTATTTATTATCATGAGGGATTGTTGGAGGATGCGTTAAAAGTCTTGATGAAGAACAATAAAAACTTGGAATGGTATGAGGTTTTATTTGATTCGATTTAATTATCTCGGACGAAAAATGGAACAAGCTAACATCATAATATTACAGCGTTGCCCTAATTATCCAAATCTATCTTCAAATGGATCGTGTGGATCTAGCAAAACGAGAGCTCGCTGCTACAAAATCATGGGCTGAAGATGCGATGCTCGCGCAATTGATTGAAGCTTGGGTAGGCCTTCGAACGGTAGGTCAATTGAACAAAGTAGTTCGTCATAATTATTAAGATTTTAATGATTGGCTTATAAAATACAAAGGGAGGTGACAAATATCAAGAATCTTATTACATCTATGAAGAGATTGCACAATCACCATCTTCAAATACAGTAAAAATATTGAATGGGCAAGCTGTTTGTCATATTCATCTTGGTAGATATCCAGAGGCTGAAGGATTACTATTGGAAGCGCTAAACAAGGTAAAAATGTTTAGTATTAATTGAATTGGCATATTATCATTCATTAATGCTTTTATTGATGTTTCACAGAACAACGACGACCCTGAAACTCTCGTAAATCTGATAGTCGTCTCCAATTTATCAGGAAAATCATCAGATGTGGTAAACCGGTACACCACGTAAGTTCTTGTTGCAATCGTTCAATAATAATTTTATTTTCTCAAAACTAATGTGAATGACAATTTATTTAGACAATTGAAAGAGGCTTCACCAAATCATCCCTTCTTACAAGATCTTGATCTCAAAAATAGTTTATTTGATCGGGCAGCTCAAAAATTTGTACTTGCATAATCAGTGTTGCACCATTTGATTGGCTGAATTTAATAGATTTATTATCATTAGGGGCGTGCCATTTATTACCATGGATACATGGGACCATACTAATGGCATGCCCCTTATATCATGCGTAAATTAAATCATCGTTTTTAACAAGTTATTCTTCACAATGCAATCCAATCAGAAATGCTGGCACTGTTTTAGCAAATTAACACAAAATTTGTTTGACTTGTATAATACAAAATTTTATTTTATTTAAAACATTTTACAATGATAAATAAGATGGTGGTAATGCTATTCTAGATTTTAATCATCTCCATATTTGTCTTTGTAGAGCTTGTCAGCGGCCTTCTTGGCATCATGTTTAGCTTTTGTTTTGTCGACGAAGTCCAATCCCTTGGTTTCAATGAGCTATTGGAAGCAACAAAATGATATCCAAAATGAGCGCATTGAATGATGATAACTTAAAATTTGATAATTAAGTAAATTGTGAGGCGGATTTATTTTACCTTGTCGGCTTCAGCAGCTACAATAGCAGCCAAAGCAGCCTTGGCATTTGAGTGTTTGTCATCGGGATTGCGCTTCTTTTCATAGGTTCTGAATGCTTCGAAAGCAGCTGCACCAGCAACAAGTTGGTGGGAAACGTGAGATTCATGCTTCTTTAAGGTTTCTTTGTCTGACTCGTGAAATTCTTTGTGGTGCTTTTCAGCATGGCTGGCAGAGTAATCGCTGTAGTCTAGAAGTGATGATTGAGAAGAATTACAAAACGTGAATGTTAATAAATGACCAAAGCACCAAAAGACTGGATCATAGCAAGAAAATTAATTAGTTACCACTCATTATGAGGTGAAAGAAGTTGAAAAGAAGTATGGAAGAGCGAATGGATGCCATTTTATATGTTTGTGCAGACGAAGCATTAACATAAGCAGATTGGGACGAGTGAAACAAATGCATTCGCCCCTGTTGTGTATATGTGGCTTGCATGGAATTAGATAAAGAAAACATTTATTTAAGCAAATTCTACTTGGAAGATGGCGTTTTTTTTTCCAAATCAGTCCTCACTATTACAAAAAAAAACGCGGGTCCAGTTTTGAATGAATTAGCATGCAGTTGTACTTTCTAATATGGCATTCTCTAACCATAAGTGCTCGCACGCAGAATAATAGATAACAAAGTACATGTATTTGTGTTTAATTTTTATCGTTATTGTCATAATCAAAAAATAATTCCAAGGAAAAGGACGAATGAGGCAAACAAACGGGAACATGAAGTTATCGATCCATCTATCAATCTTTTCCTCCTTTATTATATAAATACTGCCGCTCTTTCGATTTTTAGACTTTTGTGCATTAACTAAATTAGGTTGCATGCATTGGTTTGCCCCTTAATCATCGCTCCGTGTTGCTTACCCAAATATGTTCTGTATCACGAAACGAAGGTGGTTTGTTTTTTATTTATCTACAAAAATCAATTATAGACATGTAATTTGAGATTTATTGGCAAGGAATAACGTTTCAACGACGAGAATGTCAAACGAAAACCATTGAATTCTGTGAAAAGGATTCATTATCGTAACAATTCTGTATCATTGAACGATTGTTCGAAACAATGTAGTATTATGTTATTTATCCCAGCACCAAAACAAAGAACACGAATCTTGCATGAACTTTAATACATGTGAAACTGTTTTTTTTCATGCGCATGTATTGTTGATTACTATGAACATTTTCATTGGCTAAAATTAATGCTCCATTACTATTTTAGCCAATGAAAACGAAGATGTATTTTCATTTTCGTAACATTTGAACATTTCTTAGAGTATTGGCATAATCTTTAATAAACACAGATATTATGTGATATTGAATTATTATAGAGCTGATCTTCCCTCTTCTCCAAGTGAGATTTTTATTATATTTAATTGGCTAATCATTTTTGATCACATGTAAATTACGTGAAAGGTGAGATTTTTGATCCTGATAATTATATAATATTTGTCAATTCTCTTACAAAATTTGTTTAATTCCAATTTTCAAAGATCATATGCTTGCAAAATAGTTGTTATTTTTTTATTCAGAATTATTTAAAGAAAATATTATATTTGAATCTTGATTATTAGATTTAGTTATTAGTAATATTAAAATTTATCTTTGTAATATTATAGGTGTTCTTATATAACTTAAATAATTGAATTTTTCAAAGAAATAAATAATACAAGAATAATTATATTATAATAAACAATAATAATAATTATAATTAATTAATAATATAAATAATAACAATTCTAATATAAAAATTATTTCTATTTAATAAATAGTTTTTATAAAAAATTAATCAACTTATTTTGCAATTAGAAAAACTTTCTCAGGTTAAAACGAAAAATATATATTAAAATATAAATTATTATTTGTTTTTTATTATAAAAATAAAAATATTGATTAGTAAAATTGAAAACTTTTATATAAAAAAAACTTGTATTTTATTATATTTTATTAATAAATTTTAATATAATTGCATTTTTTTGATTGTCATTATATATAATTTTATTAAAATTTTCAAATAAAGGCTAAGTACAATAAAAATAGTGTAAATTATATAAATTCTAATATAATTTACATTATTTTTATTACACTTAGTCCAAATATAATAATATTAAAGATTATTGATAAAATGTAAATTTTTTCTATATAAAAATTTTCAATTTTACTAATTAATATTTTATATAAAATTATAAATATAAACAATAATTTATATTTTAATATATATAATCTTTAACAAAAGTAATAATAAATATATTTTTGCTTATAGTGACAATTAAATATAATGCAATAATATCAAAATTTATTATAATATATGAGTTTTTCTCTTTATATAAAAGTTTTCAATTTTATTAATAAATATTTTTTATTTTATATTAAAATAAAAATAATATCACATATATTTTTTTAAGATTTTTTTAAATTTAATTTGATAAAGCTATTCTAATTATATATAAAGTCAATTATTTTTTTATATATTTAAATTATAAAAAATAATTAACTTTATATATAATTAGAATAGCTTTATCAAATTAATCTAAAAAATTTGAAAAATTATATATTAAAATATGTGATATTATCTTTATTTTAATGTAAAAATAAAAAATATTTAATAATAAAATTGAAAATTTTTATATAAAGAAAAAACATATATATTATTGTGTTTAATTAATAAATTTTGATGTTATTGCATTATTTTTTATTATCACTGTAAATTTTAATGAGAGATTTTTTAAAATTTATAAATATATATTTTAGAAATAAGATTTCTTAATATTATAAAGTATATTAATATAAAATATTTTTAATAACCAATTTGAAAAGAATTTTATAAAAATTTAAAAAATTCTAAAAAAGATTTTATTTTGATGAATCTTTTAATAAAATATAAATTAAAACTAAATTTTTTATTTATAAAATATATTTTCATAAAATTCTTTTTAAAATTACTTATTAAATTATTTCAAATAATTTATTTTTTATTTAAATATTAAAAATTTTAATTTATTATTTTTAATATCAAATTTTATAAAATATTATTATATTAATATACTTTATAATATTATTAATTTTTTTAATAATTTAAAACAAAATTGGTATTTTGGTTAATTTTTTATTTTTAACTGATAATTATTAGTCAAATTATCAAAAAAAATTAAATTACTATATTTAAAAATTTTGATTATTAATTTGATCTAATATTTTTAAAATTAACCAAAATACCAATTTTATATTAAAAACTATAAAAACTTGTAAAAGAAATAAAATAATATTAAATTTATTATAATCAAATACAAATTTTTTATATATAAAAGTTTTTAATTTATTAATCAATATTTTTATAAAAAAAATATAAAAAATAATTTATATTTTAATATATATTTTTTCAAATTTTTAGATTTATTCTGAAAATATTTTTTAATTACAAAAAAATTTAATTAATTTTTTATAATTAATTTTATATTTTAATTATAAAAATTAATTAATTTACTTTGTAATTAGAAAAACTTTTTCAGATTAAATCTAAAAAATTTGTAAAAAATATATACAATTATTAATAGAACTATAAAATTATATATATAATTTTATTAATAAAATATAATAAAAATTAAAATTTTTATTTTATATAAATATTTTCAATTTTATTAATATTTTTTTATTAAAACAAAAATTATATGTTATAATTTAATATATATTTTTTGGATTTTTTAGGTACTTTTCTTGTTTTAATTACAAAGTTATTGCAAAAATTTTTTATAATTAATTTTATATTTTAATTATAAAAAATTTTATAATAATTTTGCAATTAGAAAACTTTATCAAAAAAATCCAAAAAATCAAGAAAAAAATATATTAAAATATAACTTATAATTTTTATTTTGATATAAAATTAAAAAATTTTTATATAGTGACAATCAGAAATAATGTAATAATATTAAAATTTATTAATTAAATATAGTAAAATATAAATTTTTATCTTTATATAAAAGTTTTCAATTTTATTAATAAATATTTTTTATTTTATATTAGAATAAAGATAATATCACATATTTTAATATATATTTTTTCAAATTTTTTAGATTTAATCTAATAAAACTATTTATAATTGTATATAAAGTCAATTATTTTTTTTATATATTTAATTATAAAAAAATAATTAACTTTATATACAATTAGAACAGCTTTATTAGATTAAATTTAAAAATTTGAAAAAATATATGTTAAAATATATAATATTATCTTTATTTTAATGTAAAAATAAAAAATATTTATTAATAAAATTAAAAATTTTATATAAAGATAAAAATTTGTAATTTACTATATTTAATTAATAAATTTTAATATTATTATAATCCAAATATTCTATAATATAATTATTTTATTAATATTTAATTACTTTTATTATATTTAACATTTTTAATAATTAAATTTAATTAATTTAATTATTTATTATTTAATTATTTAATTTATTATATTCTTATTAAACAAATTTAAAATTATATAATTTTTATATATAATATATGATTTAAATATATAAGTTTTATATATAATTTGTATATATAATTTTATATATAATTTATAATTTATAATTTATTATTAATTTTACTTTTATAATTTTTATAATTCTATAATTTGCTTAATTTTATAATTTACATAATTCCATAATTTTATTATTCTATAATTTTATAATTTTATAATTTTATCAAAAATATCAAAAATATTAAAAATATCAAATATATTTAATATATTCAATTCAAAATATTATATTTATTATTATTTTATAATATTAATTAGTGAAAAATATTTATTATAAATATAATTAATTTTGTAGCTATAAAAAGCAAATTATAATAAATTAGATCCAATATATAATAAATAAATATCTTTAATTAAATATCTATTACTTAATTATTTTTATTATTAATATACAAAAATTAACTAAATAATAATAATATTATAATAATAATATTTATTGTATACTACATTGAATACTTAAACAAATTATTAAAGAATATCAATACTATATTATTTTAGAACTATTCTCATACTAAGTTAGAGTTTTGAAAAAAGTCTGATTCAGTTTGAGTTTGATTTGGTTTGAGCTTGAACTGAACTCAAATCTGATCAAAAGTCTGATTCAAAAATTCAAATTTAATTAAAAGTCTGATTCGAGTTCAGTTCAAATTTTGAATCAGACTCGAATCTAATCAAAAGTTCAGTTTGAGTTCAAATAAATATTTGTTAATATTTTAAATAAAGTTATAAATTATAATATGAGTTATAAATTGATATAAGATAATTAATATTTAGGATAAATATTTAAAAAGTTATATTGTCATCATTTTCAAAGTTATT